AAATAAGAGTAAGCCCCAGAAACTGGAAGTGGTCCGTCATTCTGATGATGGTCGTGACACCAATAAGTGGCATATGTGCGCCAGTCCAGGAGCGTGTGTGTGTGTGTGTGTGTGTGGATTTAGGGTGGCTCGTCCTTGCTGGCCTGATTGATGATGTCCTTGGGAAATGGCCAAACAATGCGAAATCCATAAGTTGACAAGACAATTATTTTGCAGCCCGCTGCGTTTCCTTTGCCGGAGAGTCGAACGGAGGGGTTTCAGCTATTCCAAGTCAAATTGAGACTTTATCTAGGAGTGGTCACGATTGGCTTCCTGTGAATAATAGAGATTTAATCGAATTATGTGAATTTGATGAAAATGATTTTTGGAGTATTTAATTAAGTTCTTTGAAGTGTCAATTGTGTCTTAAGAAACCTATGCAGGGTTTCCTCTTCATTAGTTGTAGATGGAAATAGGAAGATAAATATGTATACTTTAGGTATATAATACAGAATAAAGGCACACATGTTTATTTTTAACGAAAATCAATTCAAATTTGTTTCTAATAAAAGGAGCCATTTGTTAAAAAACCGTTAGTATAAGTAAACAAAAGTTATTTGTGCGTTGTTAAAATTTAAACAGTAAAAGACATTACATTTTACATGCTCATAAAAACCGTTATATGTATCATTAATAGAAAGCAGTTATTCAAACATTCGCTCGTTTCGAAGTTGAGTTTGAGTGCAAGTGCTGCGCCACCTGGCGAAATTGCTAAGAACTGGCTGGTTCCTGATTTAACCGTATAGGTGGCTTTGACAAGGATATTTAGGTTTTGTTTTCGAAGTTTGTTTTTATGAAGTTTATGTGTTAGTTTGAGTTAACATATTTTTGATTTTGTTCTTTTAAGTAACGAGGTAATGGAATATTCTAAGTATTTGGATGCAGTTTTAATAACTGGCTATGAGATGACTCGCAACGAATTCTGAAAACCATAAACTTTGAACTTTCTAATCAATGGTGAATGAACTGTATAGACAGTTTTATTACTTTATTTTTCTTTATATTGCATTACTACTTACAGTTCGTTACCACTGCCTAGCCAGTAGGCTGTATCCGAATCTCGTGTCAGTGCATCCGGCCGGGCTGATGCAGGATGTAAGGAAACCGAGATGACAGGCAGGAAGTTCATGTCCGCTCGAGTCAACCTAGTGGTGCTATCACTGATCCTGAAAGTGGATGTGGGATACGAGGCTCATGTCGTGTCAACGGCGCCGCCTTCAATTGAAGACGTCGACAAGTGGCTCTCTGGCGGGCATTGAAATCAGCTGGCTGGCAGCGTGAGTGGAGTAAGCCCACTTAACGCTAAGTGCAGTCGATTGCTGCTGAAGGCGAGCAAATATGCCATAAGTTCATAGTTCATAGTTCTAGTAGTCATAGCCACAATCTCTCTCAGCAGCACTAAGCCTTATTTACAGAGAGGAGGGGGAAGAGGTATCATCATTTATCATGCCCCGTCACGCATATCTCCTATGATGGCTATATCGCTCGGCTGATAACAATAACCACTCGAGAGTCAAACAAAATCGCCTGCAAGCCGAACACTTACCAGTTTCCATACTTTTCCCACAATGGAGGTCAACATAAGATCATAGAGAATTAACTTATATTGATTGAATATTAAATTCTGATTCAAAAGTATTGAAAAATTTAAAATTTGTATCCTTTTTTTTTCAAGTAGTTCCTTTAGTTTTAATACTTTTTCCTTGAGAAAAACTTTCTTATTTGTCCGCTACTGTTTTATATTTTTTGCCATAAATTCTAGGCCAACACCATTGAAGCGTGCATTTGGGGTGCGAGGTCGGGCTAAGTTATTTTGTCCAGCGATTTTCGCAGGACATGCTCCGCGGACCAAAAACGATTGCCGCGCCAGCAAATACTTGCAGGAGAGCATAAAGTTAGGGCGACCTTTGAACTGGCTTTTATGCTGTTTTATTAATGTAATGCACGAAGAGTGTTTGCAAATATTTGCCCCATCTGTCCATGTCGATTCATAAATTATGGAAACATTGCATTTATCGGGGCTTCAAGTGCCGCGCTGCATGTAAAATATGCATTTATTGATATCACGCATACGCCGTGTGCTCCATTAGAACTGTGCATGCGGTGTGTGCGCACAAAAATGCTTTCATAATATTGGCGATAATTTGTACAAATTATAGTTGCAATTGCAAGTGGCACCCGCATCCTCCCTTCCCCAAATGGGAATGAAGCTGTGCCCAATTGTTGGCGGAATTTATTTCCATTGTGTCGACCTAGCGAAAACAATTATCGGGGAATGGAGTGCAAATATGCAAACAGAAATATTTCGGTTAAATTCTCGATGGCCCTCGGTCCTTTTTAGTAACCCCATTTAAGTGCCACCATCCTTTCCAGCCATTCCTCTGCTTTGTTAGCCCACAAAGTCCGCAAAAGTGGTGGGTATTAAATGAGATTGGCCAATAAGTGTGCCAGTGGCATGCTCACACTTTAATTTTTACTCCCTCCCCCTTCGCACCACGCATACTTCATTTTTCCTCTGCCACGCCCCGTTGTAATGCCGCCCACCGAATGCACCGCAGCATTGTTGAATTTTCGGTTTGGCTGCAAAGTGATTTACGCAATTAAAATAATTTCATTCAAATGGTCTATAATTCAACTGGCATTTCATGCGGTTGCTGTAGCGGCCAGTTTACGCCCGACCACATTGGCCGTGACCACGCCCCTGTGGCGCAAACACCCGTTGACACTGAACGCCCTCGAAAAATAATGTGGTACGCTGGTAATTGTATGTGCCCAGGGAATCCTTCGTAATCAGGGCATAGATAAAGGTTTTTCGAATGATTAAATTAGGCCTTCCGTATGAACTGATTGTTATTTTCATCTTTGATTTAACTTTAAGCTTTATTAATACTCTCGACTTGTGTAATATAATAATAAGTAATCTGCTTACCTAACAAACTCGTCAAGGTTAAGTTATTTTTACCCAGAATAAGGGCTAGACACTTGTAAACTTTTAATAGAAAACCTTAATGCAAAAATTCAACTTCCATTGAAAAGTAACCCTTAGGAATTCTTGAGAAGTCGCTTTGCGCTTTCATTAAATTTTCTTTCCGTATTTCGCAGAATGGCCAACCAAAATAGGAAAGACTAAGCGTTAGATTTCCGGGAAATGCGCTTGTTTATCGGGGGATATTCGCCAGTATTAAATACCCTCTCCCGCGGTCAGTCAACGTGCAACTGTCATTTGAGGAATTCTGCGGATTTCGGGAATAGTATGTTGATGGCAGCTAAAATTTCAGTCAAATTAGCGTGGGAATGCGGTGTGTGTGTAAAATATTTTGTCAAATGAAAATGTGTAGGGAAAATTCTGAGGTCTGTGGCGCCGTGAAGCCTGTTTAAAACTGATTTTGCAAGACCCCGTGCTGTTCTCGAATCAATATCCATGGCCCTAAAGCCAACGCCCGTTTCGTCCTGTTCCTGTGGCTGTGGCGTACGGGCAACAAATGTTTCTAATGCCTGCCATTAAGCAGAATCTATCAGGCCAAATTACATGGCCATGTCCCAGGGTTGGTAGGCTTTCCTTGATTTCTCTACATCCCGAATCCAAAATCCGAAATCCAGCCAACAACAGCTTGGCACTGCGGTTGCTTAGGCAACCAGAAATTTGCATAAGCAGCGGGCATCAATTTGGACTCAAGTGAGCGTATAAATATTTTTATGCCAACGCAGTCGCAAAATGGCCTTAAAAATCGGGCCACAACTTTTGGGCTCTCATTGCATTTTAGCTGGACTGCGGAATACAAAATACGGACTACGGACTATGGAATAGAGACCACGGCTATTTGGGTTGCCTGCGGTCACATGATTGTTATTATTTCGAATTTGAGCATGGAGATGCATGCGGATAAGCTGGAATTTGTGGGGCCAATTTAATAGAATTACAGCTGCATTTCCTTTTTTGTTTCGCATTTCACAGCTGCCCATCGAGTAATAGTTAATTAATGAGCTCGAGCCTAAAATACGAGCACATTTTGCTCGCAAATGCGGGGTTTCCTGTAAGGCCTGGCTGTCAGAATTTCAGGGCTCAGCGGAGTGCCAAAATTAGACAATTTTTAATTAGTCAATTTTTAATTAAAAAGCTTTCATTGGTGAAAGAAGATACACGATGGTTATGGGTACCTGTTTTGGGAGGAAGATATAATCAGGAATTAGAGAAAAATTCAGGAAAAATGTATTGTAAGGAAATGAAAAGACATTTAGACGTGAAATCTCTAAAGTTTATGATCAAATAATGTAACAAACCTTTCCTTAACTTAAAGTTCCTTGATGAGCAATCAAAACCACATCCTTTTTAAATACTTTAAGGCAGAATATCTCAGGCGTGAGCTCTATTTATTTTCTCTTACGTGAATTGAGCTGAAAGTAATTAGAAAAGGAAGAATGTCCTGTGTGTGTGTTCGTGTGTTATTGTAACACATCAGCAGGACAACAAATGTAAATTGTTGTGAGTTCTCCTTGCAGTCGCACACCCCCTCGTACATGAAGAAAAGGTTACTTACCACACCCATGTCCTTGGATCTACTCCTACTCCTTGCCCAGAAGCAATCTGGTCGGTGTGCATAAGCTGCGTACTTCGACTGTCCATGGCTGTTCTATGGGCTCTCCTTTTCCTTGTTTTAAGCCTTTTCGATTTATTTGCTGACCCAGTTTTCAACGCCTGCCATCCTGCCGTCCTGCCATCCTGCCATCCTGGCCGAAGCTGTCTATAATCCAGCGATTACATGTGACACACGCATACGTTGCAGCTTATTTTTCATTCTTCTTCGAATGTCGCTGGAGGATGCAGCCAGCTGGTTGGGTTCCCTTGTAGTTTGCATAAATAATTGAGCGCCAGGCAGTGCCTTTAACACAGCTAAGCCCCCGATTGAAAACGCCACACCATGGGTTAATTTTTAAATAAAAAATTTTAATCGTATCGCATTTTGTTTTTTCGTTTGTTTTTGTGTTTGGTTTCTGCTCATGTTTGTTTGCTGTTTTACAATACAATGTGGCGACAATCATTGCAATCGAAAGACAAACAACAAACACTCTGGTTTTTATTCACTTTCATAGGCCCTGCTGTTTGCCTTTTGTTATCGTTGCTATTTGTTTATTATTGTAATGTTTTGCTATGTTTCTTTATGAATTCATTAATGTATATTCATATTATGCCTTCACTAGTTCTGCCATTTAGCTTTCGTTTTGTTTTAATCAACAGTTAAAAGTAGTTCGTTTTACACAGTTCGATTGCTTTATTTCTATTAATTATTACTATTTAACTATGTCCTTAGTCGCACACAGTATGCAAATTTACTTGGCTAATGCATAATTCTAGAGTTTCACTAATTAACTTTAATATACAGGAATTACTTAGCTGATGGCCTACGAGCATACGGATATATTATATATCTGTATATATATATATATTTACTTATGTAGATTTATGTACTGCGCTTTAAAGGTTTATGGCGAATGCTTGTGGGCTTATGGCATTAGCATTCCGTTGAGTTAGAATTTCAAATTGGCTGGCATATGCTCGTATTCACACTTAAACTCAAGCATATATATTCATGTTCTGTGGGGCTATGGCTGCATTAACAATTAGGAGATTAGCTGGAGTCGGGGATGGGAGGGAAAGATGGCAAATTAGTAAATTGAACCTGCCATTTAAAATATTTCTAATTGAGTCGACCTTCCTCTCTGTTATAACTTTTAAACTAGAAAGAACATAAAAACCTTTAATTGGAAATAAATTTAATGTTTAAACATTATCGGTTATGGCACAATTTGCCGATATCAGCACTCGTAAAGTTGGCTTATGACTAACATTATTTTTACAGCTTAACGGAAATTAATAAAATTAGTTTTTCCTGCCTGTTGGCGATGCAAACAAAATGCCAATCCTTAATTCCGAATTATGTTTCATTATAATTGTGCCCAAACACAAGATGGCTGAAATCACATCACATTTTAATTGGTTATTGCTTGATTTGAATGGCAAATGTTAGTTAATTTGCGGGCCTGCCTAGCTGCAAATTGTTGTTTAATAATTTTAATTATGAAATATAATATTTGCGGTAGGTCAACAGAGAGTGTTTTCTTTCAGCGGTCCTGAAATCGAATCTGATATTTGAATTTTTCACATTTTAATGCTTAATTAAATCAATTTATTGGGTGGAATAGTTAGGCATTCACTTTTTTCTATTGGCTATAATTATTTCTGTATTTACTATACACTCTGGCCATGGCAATTATTGTGGACAAAAAACAGGCAAATCATTCACAGTTGGTGGCCATTCAGAACGCCGCAGTTTTTAATTAAGATGGGAAAACTAATGGGAAAGCTATTATTAAGTAAAGGTAATCGTGTCAACTGAAAATGACATTTAAAATGTATTCAATTTTTGCAAATATTTAAGCAATTTTAAGGAAATTATTAGATAAATATTGCGAGGAATTTTTTAATCAATTGGAAATGCGGCAGGTCGGCTTACCGTCAATTATGAAACTGTGACATTAATATCAAGGCAATAAAAAAAAAAAAGAAAATTAAATAAATTGTATTTTGTGCGTGGGCGAATATGAAAGCAGAAAATCGAATTTACATTTGGCTTGGTTTGGTGGAAAATTGCGCAGTGCAAATATTTGCATGATATGGCAATCAATTTAAATGTTTTATGACTCACTGCTATTTGGCTTGTCTACGTTTTTATCTAATTATTTAGCATGGAGCGAGCCTCCACTGTACACTGCACTTTATTTGATTATTCATTAATTTATTAAAAAGAGTCAGAGCCGCCGGCCATAGAGATTACTCACTCCCGCTATGTTTCCGATACACACATCTATTTATTTCCTTTCGTAATTATATTTAAGTTCGTTATTTACACACATCCTATGGGGTAAGTTTTGATTTTATTTAAATATACACATTAAACTGTAATCAATATGCTTACATAAGGTATTATTTATATAATAACCTTGCTGGACAACGGCTTGGGCAGTCGGGGCAGGTTGGGTGACATTTTTGAATAGATATTTATATTTTAATTAACAGGCCTTAATGAAGAGTTTGTGGTGGGTAAAAAAATTAAAGAATTTAATATGATTTAAAGAGTTGATTTATGGCCAAAAGGATTATTAATCCTCTCGAATTTGCTGAGTAAAATTAAAATTTAAATTATTTGTGATAATAATTAGATAAGTTGGGAAATAAAAATCAAAAGCCCCCTTCTGCGCCATTGTTATGCAATGTGGTTGTCGAGTACAAGTTTAAAACTGACATACTAAACGGCTGAATGGCAAACCCTCAACCGATCCATTCACACACTCAGAGATACTTAGTCGAAGTTGCACTCACATTTCATGTGGGTGGCTCTTTAAATTACTCTATTTAGTTGGGGGCTGTTGTGGCCTTCATTCGATCATCTGTGACAGGACCTTTTGGCCAGGACATGACCGGCGGTCTGGCGGCAACTTTTGACCACAGGACACCGCTTCCTCGTTGATGTTATTGTTGATGTTGATGTTGCTGTTGCGGCTGCCACACTTTCACTGGATGTACTTTCTCCGGTTGCTGTTGCTGTTGCTGTTGCCGTTGCCGCTGGTAATGGTAATTGCGATGGTAATGGTAATGGTGATGTTAATGACGCTGGCACGGCCGAGCTGCATTGTTGACTGTAGCAAAGGACAAGGCCCAGGAGCAGGACGATTGTCAGCCAATTGTACTGACAACCGGATGAACCAGTTTGCATTGCCTCCGGATGTTCACCTGAAATTATGGCCCGAACTAATTTCAACTTTATTGCATTGTCTTGAGCTTACATGTTAAAGCGGTAAATAAAAGCAAGTGAATGTAGGGACATGCGAGTATATATATGTATCATATATGAGTTCAAGTACGAGTTGTCTGTGTGAGTATATGACTCTATATAGTATATATCCTGGCGACTCCTTGAGTCAGCGTGCCGTAACTGAATTGACCGTCTTTATTTGTTGCGCTCTGTTTGGCCTCGCATAAGTGTTTGTTGTCTGTTTGCCGGTTTGTTTGTTTGTTTGTTTGCTTGTGTATGGTGCATAAATATTTAATTAATGCTGCAGTGTTTGGTTTTTGGGCCAAAGGAGCCATGGGGAGGTCGCCAGAGATTTGGGATTTCTGGTCGGACAAACTCAGTGTCAGTCGAAGCGTATGAAATATTTAATCATCAAACTGCCGACCATCGAATAATTAGCTAATTTCTGCCATTGCCTGTTGATAAATTGATTTGACAAACGATTTATCTGTCGATTGACTCAATTTAATTGCAAATCTCATCAGAGAAAGCCAGAGAGCATACAATGTAACCGTTTAATTGTCAAAATGAAGTGGTCCTGTTAACACATCGACAATACTCCAAGCTGAAAGTGTGTTTGCACGCGAGGCTGAGGCCAAAGGAGGGCCTCTCAACATAAATAACACAAAACACCTTTAAGGACTCGCATCAATTACACATGTTCAGCTGGCCAGAGTGTGTGTTGTCCTGGTAATTGATTGAGTTGAATTTTTCCACCCATTAACTTTGCCACTTGAGTCGCTGTAGACTGTAGACTATAGGCTGTACTGTGTACATTGTACAATGATGTGCAAACAAACAGTAGCTATGATGTAATACACGGCGTATGCGTGATGAGCGCAGAAGGGGTAGGTTTGTAATACACGGCGTATACTTGATAAGGGGCATCCCCTTCAATCTGTTGTAAACATATTGCGTGGGTCGTCGAGGGACCCTCGATTCGAATTCGTACTCGGCTGCACAACAAGATGGCCAATAAATTTGGATGATGCCTAGTTTTGGGGGACTATCGTAAGGCCCCTCCCTGTCCCCACCCAGACAACTAGCATACAAACATATCACGCATACGCAATGTGGCCGAGCGTGGGAGGCATAGACATTGCGGCACAAGACAATGTATTTGTTGACAGCACTGGAATTATTAATAACGTACGTGGCGCACATAATTCATCATCAGAGCCAAGATCCCGACGACCTTTCTCCAGACGCTGCATAACTCATACATATATATAGATATCTATATCCTCGGGCTTTTCGAGGCTGGGAAAACACAAGTCACAAGCCGGCTTAGCCAAACAAAGGCGAATAAAGTGCACTGAAATGAAAGGAGCTGCTAGTAAAATAAAGAAAAAACACAAAAACCGAACAAAAATGCTAACTGAAATATGCAAAATTAGCGCTGATGGATTTTCAGGAAGGAAACCGGTCATGGAAGGATGCAGCTAAGCAACCGACTACCAACTAGTTCCAACTTCCACACAAAACTCATGCTCAAGGACGAAGGAGGCAGGACGACAGGACGACGGGACGACGGGACGCCGCAGGACGAACTGAACTGCATGCACGTAGTTTCGAGTGTTTTTACGAGCAGCTTTGCATACTTTGGCAGTATTTTTACATTTTCTTAAACGCGCTTTGTTTGTGCAGTTTATGTCGGATGTCGGCTGACAGCCACTTCTTCTCGGCACTTTCCGAGTGCCTCCAAAGAGCGACATAAAGCTGCGATTTGGTTTTCCTAAGCGCCATTCAATTACCCGCCCACAATTAGAACGCCCTTTCCTTTCCACCCCCCCTCCTTAACTTTAACCACTTGATGCGACTTCTTTCCGGTCGTCTAAAAATGAAATTACACAGTTCATTAGCGCAATTGTTTGGCGCCCAATTGAGCCCGTAAATATTAAATAATTTCCATTATCAAGTGCAAACAAGGGCAAATGGGCAGAAATGTTGATTGCCATTAATTTGTGTTTTACATGGCCAATGGGAAGCCGTTAGGAAGCTGCCAGCAAGGCAGAAAATTCAATTAAGACTAAGACGGTTTTAAGCTGCCTTCATCAGAAAGAGAGATAAAGTTTCTTTTGCTTATTTGGTTAAAGAATTCTTCGAACTTTGCTTAACAAATTACATAATTGTTAAATTTAATATTTATTCACTTAAAATTTTCATTTTACAAAACTGGAGTATCCTTCTCCCTATTTGATAGTTTAACCTTTCTGAATATTTTACAAAATTAAGCTCAATAAACCATCCTTGCATCTATCTAATGTTCCAAGCCTATTCATAACAAAGACAATTAGAGACAAATATAAGAAAGAATTTAGAAATTGTTGACAAGTCCTAATTGTGCTTTTACCTGACAAAGGGAGATGCAAATTGTGGTGTTGCATATTTCACAAAATTAAACCTCAGAATGTGAGGGCTATTAAGAGCAGAGCTACCTCTAAATTTACCCAAACAAAAAAGGGTTTTCTCCCAACATAACTTCTGCTTGCCAACTGATGTTTATTTTATTGTTAGAGATTTACTAGTATTTGGCAAATATTTTAAGGCTAATGCCAGAGCTATGCCCCTATATAGCCATTAGTCGGCAATGGGTTAAATGGCCCTCGTTCGAAACTGAAAACTCAGCTGAGCAGCTGAACCGTTGGGCTTTGGTCTATTGTTTCACTTTGCGTGCTTTTCAATTATGCATTAAACCGTCGTGGGACATAAAAACGCTTTGCTCCTGCTCCTTGACACTGTGCACATCCGGTTTGGGCATGATAAGCATTTCACGGACTTTATCGCCGGGGCAAGTTGTAAAAAAAGGAGTAAAAAAAAGGAAGCAAAAAGGAGCTACCCGTTGAGGTGGCATTGCATTCCGCGGAGTCGTTCGCTCCTCTTTTTTTTCTGTTTTGTTTTATTTTCCACTTTGCTGCAAGTTTATAAATAAAATGTGCATATGTGACACTCGAGCACGCAATGCCGTTGGCAAGGAGTTCACCAAAAACGGGGCGGCCTCAGGAACTGGGCGTGGCGGCGAATACCAGAGCGCGAACAAAAACCGGAAGCCATGCATCGCCCCTATTTTCAACCCTCCCTTCCAGCGAAAACCCCTTGGTCTTTATTATTGTTTTTGCCACACGTTGCGGCTGGCTAAAAGTTGGGCTTGTTTTTCATACTGCGTTGACATTTACGTCGCTGTCATTAATTTTAAGCTGCACGCTTTTTGGGGGGCGGCGGCAGCCTCGAGTTCAAATTACGAGTTATCCGGCGAAAAATCCAAAAAAAAAAAATATATAGAAAGGAAAATGAGAAACACCCACTCGCATTTGCATTCACAATTCGGAATTTACCTAAGCTTCGCCGGGGGAAAATTGTTTGCAAAATCGAGCACAAAGTTTTTAGCGTTTCTGTGATTTTTGTGCATAGCCAAGTATAGGAATTACGCTTTTTACAGGTGTGGCATATTTATTTTGGTTACAAACTCATATTTTAGGTGGCTCAAGCTAGGTTTGGAACAGATTTTGATGTGAGTAATAGTTAGTTTATTAGGGGAATCTATGAAACTATCTCTGAAGTATTTAACAAGTTTACCTATAAAATTCAGATTTTAATTAAGAACTTCTTAGGCAAACAACTTATATTGCCCAAAAAGGCAAGATACATCTTTGGCTGTCACTTATTCAGAGAAGTAAAACTCAAAATTGCACTGCCTTTTATCGAAATTTATTCAGTGAGACACTGACGACTATGCTGATGCTGTTCTTATCGACATTTTCTGCTGTAAGATGCCCTAAAACTATAAGAAAATCCCGGGCAACGAGTGCCAGGTAGAAAACATCTTGCTGATGCAAAAGTTTTCCAAATAAAAAACTACCTCAATTCTGTTTTAATCAGTTAAAATGCCTGTCTAAGCTGTATAATGGAGACTGAGTTTCGAGTCTGTGTGTCTCAGCATTGCTCATTGAAAATGTAATTTAAAAGTTTTCATTTTCATTTTCATTTTCATTTTATTATATAGTTTATACACGCACAGAGCAGCTTTGCATACTTATGGTTCTATTTTTTGTATTTTCTTGCAGATTTGTTTTGATTTTATTTGGCACAAAACTATTTGGAAAAGTTTTGAATTTAATGCGCAAATACGTATTATGGGCCCTTCGTCTTTGTCCCCACCATGCCCCTATATCCATATCTGACTATCAGTCGGACATTTGCCTGACTGTAATACATTCTAACAATATTGTCGTTTGTCGCAGCGACTCGTTTCGTTTAGTTGAGTTTCGTTGGAAAGTTTGTGCACTGCCTGGCTGAAATAATAATTGAATGTCACTTGAACGACAAGTTGGGCTCGAGAGGAGAGGAGTTGGAAGTTGGGAGCCACGATCTAGAGGCGAATCTGGGGAGAAAACTACCAAACAATTTTGTCAAAGTGACAAAATGCCGAACGGCGGCAGCTAGCCAAAAAACTTGTTTTCACAGGCTTAGCCAAAAGTCTCTCTGGCCTGTAGAGAAAGCTATATACATACAGATTCCTACATATATATGTATTTTATCAGCGGTTTTGCTGGCTTTCGACTTTGTCGAGTCGAAAATGCCAGGGAATATATTTTTTGGGCTAAGGTTGAGGATGTGAAGACAAGGACATGGCCGAAGGGGAATTCCAATTGAATTTTGAGCAGCTCAAGGGGAATTTTTAATTGAGCGCAGGCAAATCTTTTGCCCAAAGCAGACCGCACACATAGTTTCGTCAGTTTTAGCCAAAATCCAAAGCCAAAGGCAAAGCCAAAGCCAGAAATCCAACAACCAGAGCCAGAGCCAGAGCCAAAGCCAAAAGCTGTAACCACATTTTAAGTCCCCGAAAGCGACTCATATAAATCACGAATGAATTAAGTGTGGCCTGACCTGTTACCACTGCTTTTCCTTGGATTTCCCGTGCTCTTTGTAGCTTTTTGTGCTTCCTCGCTTTCATTTT